TTATTTAACCTATGTTGGGTTCATTTGAACCCACTTTGGCTTCATTTGAATCCAAATTAGGCTTAATTACAAAAAAATTAGAAACTTGAACCCGAGGCAACGCCCGGGTCTTAAAAACTAGTTGAAATATGACTATTACGAAATATATTTATCTCTCGCACGCATAGTTTTAAGATTTTGTTAAAAAGAATTCGGGTTTCCTTGATTACGTTTGGTTATATTAGGTAAATTATTAACTTTATCGTTTACATTTTCTGTTACTAATTTTATTTCTATAAATTCTATAAATTCTATAAATTCCATCGTTTCCAACTCCTTGATTCGATTTTCAAGTTCCATCATCGATTTGAATTCATATAACCTTTTTGTAATATTTTACTGTACTGCTTCATTATCAATCGTATCTTTTTTATCTAAATCTTTTTTTTTCGTTTCATTTTATTATTTTGTATCATATATATAGCATATGTGCACATTGTAAACAAAATAACGCAGCTAGTGACGGGAAGAGATGGACAAGTGGAAATGAGAATATCGATAATTACATCAAGGAACTTCAACTTAAAACTACAAAATATGTGATGAGTTTTTAGAAACTTGGTTAGATGATTTTAAGAAATATAACCATCATCTACATCGCATGCACCGTCATATAAGTTACACGATCACGTATCGCAGGACTTGCTTGATTTTTTTTTACAAAAGTGAGTTAAATATTTTTAATTTTATTTATCATGTGTATATGTGATCTCACACTTATACATTTTATTTAAGTTTAAAAGTTGCATACGGAATTACTAAAAACACATCCACAAATGAATACATTTTGATACTTAAAGAACTTGGCTTTACAAATACAGTACAGCAATATGGAATACTGTATGTACAAATTGTAAACAACGCAATACTTCAGAAGCCTTGTGTCAGAGATGTGATTCTCCAAAAATAATTCAAGGATGGACAAGTGGAATTAAGGATGTCGATGATTCTATTAAGGGATTTCAACTTAAAGCTATAAAATATGGCAAATTATTGAACGGATTCTTTTTGATAGATTATATGATATTAAAAAAGTTGGTGTAGGGGATTTAGTTCAATATTTTCAGCAAAATGGTCAGTTTGCAAAAGGTCAATTTCAGGCCACGATTATGGATATTCACATCACCATACATAGTTGCCTTCAAGACGGTGCAGAAAAATTTTTTAAAAAGAAGTAAGTTAAGACTATTCACTTATGACCTAACTAACATGAATAATTCTCATTAATATATGTTTTATTTACACAAACAAGTTTAAAAATTATATGGGTTTAATGGATTATAGGTATATGGACTAACAAAACACAATAACTAATGAATATTGATGATATTTCAATAGGCAAATAAAGGAAATTTTAAAATCAAAATTTCAAAAAACTAAATTGACAGATTAAATTAACGCAACTTGCTGATATATCCAAACGATCTTCATAGTAACAACATATTATATCATCAACCTACTGGCTGATATTTAAATTTGAAATATTACAGAGAAAAATTCTGGTGTTTATGGAGTTTTGCCGTATGCTGCACCAGAGTGTTTTTAAAAGACAGAAATTTTACACAAGCAGCCGATATATACGGTTTTGGAGTCATTATGTCTGAAATGTCAACCGGACAAAGGAATCCATCTGATCTTAATTTGCAATAAAAAGAATTTGTAACGGAGAACAGCCAGAGTTTGTCTCCGAACTCCTGATTGCGAATTAACAAAAAGATGCATGGATTCAAACTATAGGAAGGCTTTCGTATAATTGGCTGATGTAAATCAATTTCCCGGGTAATTATAGTGCGTAACGTTTCACTAACAAAAAATCACCGTAAAAGCCTTCGAGAGAACATCTATATTCATTGTGCAAAGTAATCAAAAATAATCAGTAACTTCAAGAACTTCACTTATAAGCAAATATTTCGTTATTTATTACTATTACTATCTCGTTACTATCTTTATTAGCTATATACAAATACTGAATGCAAAAAAATCAGTCGAATAAAACAAGGTAAATTTAGATTCTAAAAAAAATCTCTTATAAGCTTTTAAGTTTGACATACTTTTTTAATAATCTTAATACATATTTTTAATATTGTGTAGAACTTATTAAGTAGATAAATATAAATATAGCTTTAGTATAGATATGCACGTGTAGTATTAATTAATAATATAGACTTAAGACAGTAGTGAAATAGTTGTATTAGCTGAAAAATAGGGTTATTGTTTAAGAATTTTAGGTTAATAAAGAGTGAAATTCCCTTTTGATGGGTACAAATATGAGTAATAATCAGAGAAATATATGTGGTATTGTTTAATTTATAATGTATCTTGGGCAATAACATCTTGAGCAAAGACAATAATAATTAAAAATAGGATTTCTACATGAATAAATAATTAATGAAAGATAATTAACGCTGCTATAAAGTTTCATCTACTTTATGAATTCGTTGATCTGATTGGAAGAGTAGATCTATAAAATTAACCAATCATATGAACGTCTTCCTATAGGGATTCAAATCCACTACTGCTAACGAAATCTATTCGGATAGTGAAATCAAAAAACAATTCTTACAAGCAGATAAAATTATCAAAACATTAACAAAACATTCAGATTCTATGTATACTAGCTAATAAATAAACATACGAGAAATAACTATATATAACAGACCAGTAAATTTTATATTGAACAATTTATATAGAATTGAATTATGATTTTGTGCAAAAAAAAACCATTCATTTCGTTAATTAGGTTATACAAATTCGATATCTTTGGTTTTTATAACATGAACCTTTTAAATTCTTCGGCTGGCGGGCTAGCTTTTCTTTTTTTAAATTTCATATATAAAAATTTTATAAAATTTTATTGCTAATATCTTTTTCATCATCTTCAGCATTTACGATAATTTATATGAAGGGAATACTATGTGTCGAATGACTATACTGTTGATAACAGATTCTTAATTTTGATTACACCAAGTTTCGGATAATCAGTGCTTAAGTAGAATACTGGAAAACTTAAAAACTTCAAAACATTCGAATGGCAACATTTGACATGTCAAATAATGCCATTCAACTGACATTTGACTGTCGAATAATGAATGCTATTCGATTAGTCATTCGGAATGGTAAATCGAATGGCAGGTTGAATGACATTATTTGACATGTCGAATGCCAGCTTGAATGACAGTCGAATGCAACCATGTAGCATGTCGAATTTTTTAATTTTTACTAGTGGAATTATAAATTACTGTAGTTTTTCGTAATTCGTAATTTTTAACATCTAATATGTAGTATATTATTATTCAAATCAATAAACTTTCCAGTACTGTACTTTATACATAGTAATAGTATTTCACAGCCGGGCTACCTAGTGAAAAAGATATTCAATATTTACTAATATTTAATTTAGTTTGTGAATATACAGTAAATTAATTTATTTAATACTTCACTATGATCAGTTTATAAAATAAATCAATTATTTTATGGTATTTTTAAATGATAAAATAATTGAACTATTTCATAAATCTGAGATAGTAAAGCATAAAATAAAACCGTTATTGCATGCTCCGTATGCACTAACTGCTGTATTTTATGTTCTCTTCTGATCGTTCGGTAAACCAGCCGTACCGGCTGGGTTGCCAACCAATCATCATCGTCCATAAAATACAGCAGTTATTGCATACGAAGTATGCAATAACTATATAATATTGTACATACTTACACATCTACAGTATGATGTCGAAAATTATAGATCGATATATGCACATGTATGCAAACGCACATTCCCAGCCCATTCTGAATTTGGGATTAATAATATATATCCAGATATAACGATAAGTACACAGCAGTATCTAGATTTAAATAAATCCAGATTCGGGCTACTGTACTGTATGAGTCCAAATGTAATTGTTAAATTCGATATCGATATACTTACTGTATTAAATCCAGGTTTAAAAATTAAGTCTGAATCTAACGCTACAGGTATATATTAATTTTTAATTAAATTATTTGGTTGGATAAATACTAAGAACCAAATTTTATCAGGTAAATGAATAACTTATGTAAAGTAATTGAGCACCTAAAAATAACTATGTTAGAGACACAATTATTAAAAAGATTATACAGTATACTGTTAAAAAAAAAAAAAGAACGTAAGTTGTAATTTTTGATATTATTAGTACAAATAAAAATAGCCAAACACTTTTGCATAATTGTTCTTAACCTAAAACTATAATTTTACTTTTATGATCAATTTTTTTCTTTCTTTGAACCCAACCAGAGGTGACGCCGGACGGCGTACTTGATCAAAATTTTAAATAGTTAACGTTAACCAATAGGTTCAAAATGAAAAAAAGCTAAATATTTCTGCAGGTTTTTTTTTTATTTGTATTTAACAAATATAGAAATCTTTCAAAGTTATCGTTGTACAATTGACGAATTAATGTACTGTATAACTTATATCGAGACTAGGAAAATAGATACTGTTAGATACGTATTCGAAGCCAAAAATTTATTTTAATTCGCTTTTTTTTTTTGTCTAGAGCATAAAAGATAGACAAGTACGTACGTACGTGCCAAAAATGTCATAACTCTGATCATTAACTAGGGTTAATACTATCGACAGATCAATTGATCTGAATATGAACAACCAATCAAAATCTGTAATTTACGGACACACACATAGCCTTTATCTGTATGTATACTGTACCATGTCTTTCAGCCAACATTCTCAAGTAATTAAAAAAATACAAAATGAGTTACTAAAAAATAATGATGAATTTTTATGCGTAAGTAGGTTACAACCAATTTTTGCCAATAAACATAACATGTTAATCAATTATGATTATATGGAATAATTAAAAAGCATGCAAGTATTTTTTGTTACGATTAAAGTTGCGTGCGGTTACATTTTTTATAATGAATGCAAAAAAAAATTTAATTCGTGCAGAAATTTCATAAGGATATTTAATATATATGTAATTATTTGATTATAAACATTTACACTGTTTGTCTTTTTTGTGATTCGTTCAAATTTACGAGTACAGAGAAATTCTATTTCGCAAATTCAGCAATTCATTAAAAATTAACGGGGATACTTAACTGTTAAGTAAGTACGTACAGTACATACCAAGGATCACAAATAAATTATAGTTATTAATTAGGACAACAAACATTCCCAGGCCTAAAGATTCAAATTAAGATATGTGGTACGTACGTTTTTTTTATAGAATAGTAATATCCTGCAGGATAGGTAAAAATGGAAAAGAAAAAAAAACTTAATGCTTAAATGTTTGGGATAATAAATTTGTTTGTTACATTGACTTAACACGTTCATTCTTAAACCGTAAATCTTGATGATTACACGAGGATTAATTTAACTAAATAAGGTTCTTTAGAACAAACGCGCATACTTTAAAATTGTGTTTACAACTATTCTGATACTTAACAAGTTATTGATAGTAAACTTACTTATTAACATTACTGTTAATTATAGAATATAATTTACCATAAACGTTAGTAGCTATAATGATCAATGACCCATGTAACGGTAAATTAATTCAATAATCAGTCCAGAGTCCGATAATGCATTGATTCATTATAAATAGCATCATTATTCTGCATTTTTTTCACCTTTTTTTTTTTTCTCTTAGGGAACGTTCAAATTATAAAATATACCCTTTTTTTATTTTTTTTAACGAATTTTTGATCATATAATTCAAATTAAAAAATTGAATAATAACGATAATGTCTACTGATCATCTTAACGTAGAATTTAAACTTCATCCTGTTCCAGAATGTCTTTTATCACGCAATCCTCCTCCTCATGTTAACTCTTTCGAGCAATATAAAAAGATTCATGAAGAGAGTGTCAAAAATCCTACGGAATTTTGGGGAAAAGTATGTAAATTTTTCAATTTTTATTTAGTTATAAAATTATCTTGTAACAATTGTGATAATTTACATAACTTTTAATAAAATTATATATCTAAATAATATTTTAATTTATTATGTTTGTATTATTTCTCGATTATTAGCTCGCTAATGAACTTCTTACTTGGCACACTCCCTTCAAAACTGTTCTATCTGGAGGTTTCGAACATGGTGATGTTACTTGGTTCCGTGAAGGTGAATTGAATGCCTCTTATAATTGTGTGGATAGGCATGCTATTAAAAATCCTGATAAGGTAACATTTATCGTTTACATCGTTCATTATCAATTTAATTTAATCTTGTAATCTTTAATAATATTTCTTTTCTTTTCTTTTTTTTAGGTTGCAATCATTTATGAAGCTGATGAACCTGGCCAGGATCGCAAAATTACTTACGGTGAACTTTTACGCGATGTTTGCCGTTTCGCTAACGTATTGAAAGCTCATGGTGTTAAAAAAGGTGATACCGTCGCTATCTACATGCCAATGGTCCCTGAAGCTGTTGTTGCTTTCTTAGCTTGCGCTCGTCTCGGTGCTATACATTCTGTAGTATTTGCCGGTTTCTCTTCAGAATCTTTACGTAATCGTATTTTAGATGCTTCTAGTAGATTTATTATAACTGCTGATGAAGGTCGTCGTGGTGGTAAAACTATTCATACTAAAAAAATTGTTGATGAAGCTTTATTGGGTTGCCCTGATGTAGAACGCGTTTTCGTATTTCGTCGTACTGGTTCTTCTGTTCCATTTTGCTCCCCTCGTGACGTATGGTGGCATGAGGAATTAGATAAACAACGTCCTCATTGTCCTCCTGAAATTTGTAACGCTGAAGATCCTTTATTCATACTTTATACTTCTGGTTCTACTGGTAAACCAAAAGGTCTCCTTCACACTACGGCTGGTTATTTATTAGGTGCTGCTACTACTGTTAAATATGTTTTTGATTATCAGGATGGTGATATTTATGGTTGTATGGCTGATATTGGTTGGATTACTGGTCATACTTATATCATCTATGGTCCATTGGCACTTGGTGGTACTAGTGTATTATTTGAATCAACTCCTGTATATCCTTCTCCAAGTCGGTATTGGGAAGTTGTTGCCAAACATAAGATTACTCAATTTTATACCGCTCCAACTGCTATTCGTTTATTACGTAAATTTGGTCGTGAACCTGTAGATTGTCATGATCTTTCAAGTTTAAGAGTTATCGGTTCAGTTGGTGAACCTATTAATCCTGAAGCTTGGGAATGGTATAATGAAGTCGTAGGTCGAAATGTTTGTTCTGTAGTTGATACTTATTGGCAAACTGAAACTGGTTCAATTATTGTGACTCCGTTACCTGGTGCCACTGCAACAAAACCTGGTTCTGCTACTTTTCCTTTCTTCGGTATTGACCTTGTCGTATTAAATCCAGAAACCGGTGAAGAGATAAAAACAACTGAAGCAGAAGGTGTTTTAGCCATACGTAAACCTTGGCCATCAATGACACGCTCTGTTTATAATGATCATAATCGATATCTTGATACTTATCTAAGACCTTTTAAAGGTTATTACTTTTCAGGTGATGGTGTTGGCCGAGATTGTAATGGTTATTATTGGATTCGTGGACGTGTAGATGATGTTATTAATGTAGCAGGTCATAGATTATCAACTGCTGAAATCGAATCTGCCTTAATCATGCATAATGCAACCGCTGAAGCTGCTGCTATTGGTGTAGCTAGTGAATTAAAAGGTCAATGTGTGCATGCCTTTGTCACTTTGAAACCAAATTGTGAAAATACTGATGTAAAAGATTTAATATTGCAAGTTCGTAAATCTATTGGTCCTTTTGCTGCACCAGAAAAGGTTTATATTGTTAATGATTTGCCAAAGACTAGAAGTGGAAAAATAATGAGACGTGTTTTGAGAAAAATTGTTGATGGTCAAACTGATTCTTTAGGTGATTTATCTACTTTAGCAGATCCTAAGATGGTTGATACTTTGATCGAAACTATTAAAAAATCGTAGATTTTTTTACATGTTAGATCTTTTATACTATTTTTTAAAGTGTACTTTATAGCGATAAAGTATTTATATATCACATCTTGTATTTATTATACAATTACTTAGTTTTTTCATTTTATAATTCATGTATAAATATGTAGATCTTCATACATATCGATATACAGTACAATTGCATAAATAAATTGTTTATTAGGCATACAAACATAAATTCTTATACGTAACTCAATCTAAATTGATATTCGCTTTATTATAATAATATATTAACTTTTATATACGTATATATATTATGCTGTATATAATTGATATTAAAAAAATAGTTATATTATTTAACTTTAAAAAAATAGTTGATAGATTTAATTAGGTTTGGAATTTGAATTTTACTAATAATACTTTATTTAAAAAAATTTATTACAGTAGTATATGGGGGGGAGTCAATAGAATCCAGGCAAATTGTTTTTATATAAATTTTTTTTAGACTTTAAATTAAAATATCTCAACAACTATTAAACCAAACTTGATAGAAATTTTTTTATTTTAATTCCATTTAGTTATAGAATTAAAATAAAAAAATTTTCATCAAGTTTAGTCTAATAGTTGCTAAGATATTTTAATTTAAAGTTTTAAAAAAACTTACTAAAAACAATTTGCCTGGATTCTATTGACTCCCCCCTATATAGTAAATTTTACCAATTTACTTAACTTTGAAGATTAAATATATATATAGTATTATATTGTAATCAGTGTTGGGCAAATTAGTGGTCAACCAAAATTTTACTAGTCAAATTGGTCAAATCAATTATATAAATATACTAGCTCCACACGTGGCACCATGTGCCACAATTTATATTTTAGATGTAGAATATGATATGCAGTATATTGTATTAATATGATTTTTGTAGATGATAAAGCAACCAAAATATTTACTTGTTGATTATCGATCAATCTTTTTTAATTAGAATAGCTATATGTAGTTTTTTTTTTTTTTTAATGAGTACAATATATATTTACGAAGATACCAATGCCAGCTCTTTTTCTACATTTTGCTATGGTCTCCAGAGTTCTTACCAATTCTGCATTAAGCCCTTGCCTTTTGTGTCATTTGCAGTGCACTTGTGCAACTCATTTTATTAATTATTATATAAGTTACATATTTGTATAATTAATATATTACAGTATATTAATTTCATTCATTATAACGTGTAAATTTAGCTTTGTAAGTTGAGATTTATATAACGAAAAATCAGTATATATATTATAGTTTTGCCAATTGCATTATTACTTAATAGTTTCACTTAAGCAATAATACTGATATGTAAATTAATTTTATGGTTGGAGAATTATGCACCAAAACAACAATAACGAAAATGATCAAATACTATAGTCATCATAGAATCTAAGATGATTTCAAATCTATCAAGTAGATATTTGAACATACAATTATTTGCAATGATTAGAATACAGTGTATTAAATTTTTTTTAGTGTGAAATTACACTACGATGGTAAATGTAAAAGTCTTTTATTCTAAGAATGTTAGCCATATAGTACACATTATAGAAGATTGTGCATTATATTGTTCAGACAATTTTTGAATGATTTAAAATTTATCTTTAAACTTAGTATAATACTAAATATGGATATATGATATACATTACACTTTATATAGCCAACATATTATTCATGTACTATTGATTAAACAAAATGATTGGTGATTTTGAGGATCATCCAAATGAAGCCCTCTGATTGGCCGGTGTTGCCGGACAGACATTCCACTTTAATATATAGATATATATTATATAATAAATTATTATATTTAAATATACTATTTAACCAATTTGACTAGTACAGATCCTTTGACCAGACCGGTCAAATTGGTCAAATTGGTTTGGTCCAATGGTCAAACTGGTCTGGTCAAGCCAATACTAATTGTAATGTATATATAGTATAAATTAAAGGGGTCTGTATTACTTCATAGAAGTTTATTTTACAGATATCTTGTTTTACAGACAATCAATTCATAGACAAGTTTATTTTAAAGACAATTAATTTACAGACAGTTTATTTTATAGATATTTTATTTTGTAGACAATCTTTAACACTAATTTAAAAGTTATTTGCTATTAAGATTATCTACAAAATGAAATATCTATGAAATGAACTGTCTATAAAATGAACTGTCTGTAAATTAATTTCTTTAAAATAAACTTGTCTATAAAGTGATTGTCTGTAAAACAAGGTGTCAGTAAAATAAACTTCTATAAAGTAATACAGACCTGAAATTTTATACTATAAGCAAAACTTATACTAGTAATTAAAGTTAATTATTAAACTATATAATATTTCTGCTTTTGTAAAGTTTTGAAGTTTAAGGGTGTAGCGACTTAGTGAAGTGGCAGAGTTGTCATCCCTCAAGCGGCAGGTCTAGAGTTCAAATCCCAGGAACGACAATATTGAAAAATGGACCTGTGTTTGGTATAATTATCCACTGGTTAGTTGTTTAGTACACCATCTAGAATGGGAGCTTTGGCATATAAAATCTAAATAATCAGAATAATCAATACCTGTTTGGAAGCCCTGAGTAAGGAGGTAGCCGAAACTTTTGACAGTACTACAGGAAAGACCAAATTTAGTTATAAGTATATAATTAAGTTAATTTTACTAATTTTTAATTATTAGTAGGAATAAATTGTTATGATATATTTAAAAAAGAATATTTTATACTTTATGCTATAATAATTAGTTGGTTAGGTAACACACCAGGGTTAACAAAATTAATAGATCTTACTGAGCATAATAGTTATCAAGGTTGTTATTATTGTGATTTAAAAGAGATTTATATAAAACATATTTATTATCTTACAACTCTATCTAAGAACTTCAATTCTACAAGATATCAAGTATCTAATTTACCAATTAGAACACATAAAGAATAGAAAAGGAGACTTAAAATAATTCAAAAAGCCAAGCCTGGAAAAGAGCAAAATAAGTTTATTACTAGCTTCAGTAATATTATATGTATATTGCTATTAATAGAAATCAAGTAGATTCTACTTGATTTTTATTAATACATAGCATTATAATTTTATGAATATATATATATATTTTTTTGGCAATCCTACCTTTATTGTATAAGAAATGTGTAATCAATACATCAGTTCTTAGCTAATGCCAACAACTCTTCTTTCTTCTCAATAAAAGCTCACCCAGCTGCTCTAAGGTGCCTGCTACAGCAACTATTTTCCTCTCTTCTGGTTTTCAACTTGCTGAAAATTTACCTATTAGATCCTTAGATAGAAGTTGCTAGCCTTGTCAGGACTGTATTTAGGTTTCAAAATTATGTAGTTTATATAGCTCTGACCACTTTGGTTTGACGTTAGTTGTAATTACTTTCCTTACTTCTTTCTTTGTCTCCTCCCAAAATTTTCAATTTGCTTTTTCTGCTGCACTTTTTTCCACTCTTACTTCTTGAGTTTTTCTCTTCTTGGTTTTCTTGTATGTAGGGTCACTTCTCTCATTTTATCTTTTTTTTTTTGCATTCGTAATACCTTTAGCTTGCTCCCATTTATTTACTGCTCTGTATCTCAAATGCCAAATCACTTCTTGGAAGCATTTTCATAGCTTACAGTTGTAATTTATCTGGAGAATACTTTTAAGTCTATTTTTATTTTTAAGCACCTAGGAGATTTCTCTAATGCAGTTGACTCTGTTTTGGTACTTCATCTCTTGATTATCTTCTATTAAATCCTCTTTTGTAATACTACTTAACTTTTCTATACTTTTTTCATACTCCTTTTACCTCCTTTTCTCTTTTGCTTTTTCAAAAGCTTTATTCTCTATATTGCTCTAAAGTTTCTCATATATTTCACATGTGGCTAAGTGAACTAGATCTTCTTTTTTTCTAAAACATGCAACGCAAATATCTATCAGATAGAGAAATTTTATGAATATTATTATTATAGATATTAAATATCGTGGATTATTGTGAAATCAGATCATCGTGAAATTTGGGGGTCTTGATTTGAAAATATAAGCCCTACCAAAATTCACCTATACTCTTTTATTAATAATTCTAACCCTAAACCCTAACTTAACTATAAAAAAAAAGCTTACAAAAAAGACCCCAAAAAATTTTAAAAATCGTATATAAAATAAATCTAAATTTCACGATAATCCAATTTCATAATAATCCGTGACATTAAATATATATATATATATATATATTTAATCAATTCGGCAATTTTGTCTTCACTTTATTAAGCTTTGTAATAATTATCTAAACTATTAAAATTTTCTATAAAGTTATACTCTATAGTATCTAAATTACAAGTGAAGACTCATCTGGTTGCTCACTGAGTACCTATGTGCAACCTGTTATAATAAGATTTACCTCTGTATTATCTTATCCTGCAATTGGCTTTAATAATACATTACTAGCTAGATCTTACTACCCATCAAGACTAGAAGTTAGGACCAAGACCAATAAACTGAATGACAAAAGATTTTTAAGTGGGGGATCCACCAACCGAATTGCTAATTCAGAAAAACCAGAAATTAACAAACATATATGGTGTACACCAACTAGGTCGCTGGCTTGGAAAACCGGTAGCAGGAGCTCTATTCTAGCAAACCTGCGAATTGGAAGACATAAGTTACAAGACATGGGTTATAAAATACAGGCCGAAAAAATAGGCTGGGTACACCAGAGGACTGGGAACTTTTAAGTTGGAGGAAAAGGATGTATACTATAGAAATACAGACCAAGATGAGACAGGCCAAAGGCATCTAGAGCAGTGTTGGAAATCCATATTCACAATGTTCACAGTAAACATAAATTTTTTAAAAAAATCATAATTTTTATATTTTATATTTACAAGTATGAACATAAGAAATCAAAAATTTTATATTTTATGTTCATATAGTGTGATATAAATTTTAATTTTTATAATTTCTTATTTATAATTTATTAATATAAATATCATATTTATGCTAATACAAGTGTAATAGA